ATCGATAAGTTAATGCATTAGAATCGGGAGAAAGCAGATTTCACTCTTAGCACTGAGAAAAATTATCTCAACAGCGGATTTAATACTTTTTCGTCTCTTCCAAAGAAAGCCCGGGACATTACCATAAAACAAGCCACGATCGATTACTGCGATATAATCATCGCGCAATTTATCATTCTACGCTACTGAACCTCTTTAGCTGTCGCACAAGATAAAACCTACGAAGAAACAAAACAACGGAAATAGGAAGAATGTGTCCCATATGAGAACGAACTGCAGCCACCAGCAACAACTTCCAAATGCTCAGCAGATAAGCGTTGCTGCTAAATCCAACCTTTAAAGAATTCAACATTAGCCAGCCGCGTGTCTACGAGTTTGTGAGGATAATATCGGTATTTGTCTTAAAATAATGGAACTTGTAGATGTGGACTGGATTCATGTTACTCAGTTATGGGCCACTGGCAGACTCTTGCAAAAAATTGTAACAAATCTTCGTATTCCATGAAATAAGGGTTATGTATTTCTTGAGAAACTTGGCAAATAACAGCCTCTGAAATTTTAATTAGTTAAGAGACAACTTAGGAATAAACGAGCACGTCTGAGTAAACCAAAAATCATTGAATTAAATTTTAAAATTGCACATGGCAACAGAGCTGCGAATATGAAGCAAGTGTAGGCAAAACACGCACAGAATCCCGTACTTCCGAAGTCTGAACTGCAAACAGCCAATAACAAAGTGCTTTTAAAACTTGTTACTAAATAATTTCTTGACTGCTCGAGCCTCAGGTGAACACAATGAAACAGCACGGTATAACAGAGTAACTTGTTACACGAGAATTCATTTGTTAAATATATGGCTAGAATTATTCACAGTAGGACTGTTTCTTTACTCCGTTATTACGCGAAAACCCGGAAGAGTAAATTAATTCAGATGAGAGACTGCTGAGGCAATAAAGCTGTACATCAAAGCGACATGCTCTACTTTCCACGCACTATTAAATGCTGTTTGACTCAACTTCGGTTCTTAATAATGTAATAGGCTAAGCGATACACTATAAGACTAATTTTCTAAGACTATTTTTAAAGATTCTATGCCTACTTAAGATTCTTTGTGACTGAACAAACGTCAAGTGAAGTTTTAACACTGTCATACATCTGTACGTAACTGTCTCATTATAATACACTAAAGTAAAAGTAAAGCTGTCCCACTATACGCCATGTAGGCGCTTGGGGGGAGTGGAGGTATAGCTCCACTCTTCCTTGACCTCGGCACTAGATGGGGGTGAGCGGTCAGCATCACGCCCCGGCAGGCTTTACCCCCGGGAAAGGACCCCGGTACCAATTGGATAGGAGGCTGGGTGGGCCCCAGAGCCATTACATTATAATACATCATATAAAAACATATGTTTTATTAAAAATGAGGTGTTTATATGAGTGTGGAAATGTTTCCAGGTAGTGTGTGGATACATCTGATCGACTGGCGATAGCAAGTTGTACAACATTACGTGAAAATGGCGTGTAACATAGATATAAGGATCTAAGAAACGCACACCGAAATTCAATCGAGAGATTTAAATAAAACTACGAATTGCAAAATCGATGAAATTGGAAGGTGACATTATGACAGATATTACAGAAAGGAGCGTGGAAAGAGAGATGACCCAGGATCGTCCCCAATGGCGGTAACTGTTATTTTCGGTGTTGAATATTCAGGTTCCACTGTTAAAATGTTGGTTTCTTAATCATTGCCAATAATAGAAAATTGCAGAACTTGGCTGGTGATTGTCGACTCGTAGAATCGAAATGGTTAAACTGCGGTCTAATTATGCATGACACCACAAACTGATAGGCCAATAGCGGCATAAGCGTATAATTCACTTCAGTTATTAATTTTAATGCTAATTCCATTATAGTATATTTAAAAGCTTACTTTTATTTTATTTTTTTTCTCTAGCGACTACTTCAAAATTTTATACTCCGAATCTAGACTGTACATCAAGAACAGATTTTCGACATTATAAAGAACAGGGTATAACGGGGTGGGTCAATTCTGTCTCTCGCTTTAATTTCAATCCGGATGTTACAACTACGAACTGATGCTTTGGTGTTATCTATTATTCAAAATCTAAAATTGTTTTGCCGGACCATATTGATTTTCTAACATTGCCTGAAGCTTTGACCTTCTCTAAGGCTGCCTTACTGACGTTCCCCTGTGCCACATGCGATGCTCTCTCTGTTTATACAAACCTTAATACGGAAACCCTGTAAATTGTTCAGCAGTCTCCAAGTAACGAAACTAACTTGGCGGCGTCACAGCACAAGAGGCTCCGTCCGAGAGCAGTAAAGATGAAATTTGTTGCAAAGAAAGTGGAACTGGAACAGGTTTTCTCCAAGTCCATCAACTTTCCTCAGTCAATATCATTCCATCGCTTCAGATATTAATTTCCCTTCAATTTTCTATAATTTACTTAATAATTAACACGCTATCGGTAGAACTGGCTCTTCTTATACCATTGTCTCAATAAGACACTTTGAAGTGTGATCACGCCACAAAAATAGGGAAATTCAATCGATTTAGGAATAGATTTTCGAAAAAAATACACAACTTTGGAACACCAATTCTTTGTATAACGTAAAATAACAACACGGAAGCTGGACAAAACACAAAAAGTGAGGTGACTAGGATTAAAATCCCGCGATGACATAACAACAATTAGGTGAAATTGGCTGTCTTCTGAGTTGTACCGCCGTGTAGTCTGGTTGAAGTTTACCAACGTATCATTATCGTCCTGATAATGGAGGCATTTTAAATAAGCATAAGCAAAACACATTTATACACTTATTTAAAGAGTACTCCGTACCATATTCTTGGATGTACCAAATCTTTCTTCCATGTACATTAATTCTCAAGAAGTATTATTCGAACACGGGAAATTACTATCCTTCCTATAGTTAATCTGGTTACCATGGTTACTACGGATACTTTGGTTCACGCTCAAAGGTCAAATTTTGGCCAAGGCTTCAGAACTCGTATGACTTGTTTATTTTTGTAGACAAACAAAGATTTTCAGGACACACATTACAACTAGGGATACAGACATTATGTTCTCAGACGCTTTGTAGAGACATAAGTGCTTATGACGTACTACAGCAAAATTCCTTTAATAACAGGGCACGCCTTTGACTAACGCAAGTCCACCGGAGTAGAAGGAGTCACGCGCCAAAAGCCACCTTACTCACGCAAGGCAGGGCTCTTGCGTACTATGTGCAGATGAATCGAGTTGTTACCAACAACAAACGAAGCAGCACACTAAGCAACCAATTTAGCAAATGGCTGCGAGCCACAAAGAAATAAAGAGGAAGTCGGAAACTTACTGCAGAGAAGTGTACTTCCACTGCAGCTAGCAGTAAGAATAAGCCAACCAGCTACATGCGACCTTGCCTCAAGGCTCTACGGCTACAGCATGTCGTCAGTAATGGCACAGAAATGCTCTAGTTTTCTCTCCCAGAAACTTGTCTTCTGTGCGCGTTTTAGTCCTTGGTAGGAAGCGGTTGCATTACAGCAAGAGAACGCTTCGGGCAAAGTGTATGAGGGCGAACAGAGAGATGAGGACTTTCATTAAAATGAAGTCCTAAAGATGGTAGCCGAAGACCACCGTCACCACACGGTATGAAAATTCATAATTACACGTACAGAAGAACACATCGAAACAAAATTACATCTTATCAATATAAATAAGCAGCTGTACTGTTTGCAAGAAAACCCCTAACGACAGAAATAAATGGTGCTGCTCTAAGGTACACAGAGCAAACGGAATAAACTCGTATCTTAACATAAACAATTGAACGCAGTTTGTCCGTTCGAGTGTTTTAACGTTGTTCCATGGACAAGTACGGTCGCCAGCACTGAAGGAGTGAAAGTGTTTTACGTACACATTCCGTGCGTTCTGGAGCCTGAAGAAACAAGGATCATTGTGAAACGTGTAGTATTCACAACAGCCGCGAGAGAATTTGATATCAACAGGAAGGTAAAGTAATTGGATAGTGAAGTTTAACGATGCGCTATATGAGTGGTGAACAAATTTATACAGAACAAGACTGCAAAATTAAGTTATGGCAAATGATAGCGGCTAGCAACTTCTAAAATAGAGAGTGTACATGAATAATATTACAACTTTACTCGAGAATAAAACTTTTTCGAAATATACTTGAATCTATTAAGAAAATGTACGGTGACGCTGAATTTTGTATAAAGTGAGAAGGTGAAATGTCAGATTCTGTTGAACAAAACAGTATAAGTCATTATTTGTTGCTGGTTCGGTTAGAGATGATTATTTAAAAATTCTTAATATTAATTATTTAAATCTTGAATTTACTGAATATCTTGTACATTTTTTAATATTTTCAATGCATTTGGCTAAACTACTACTTCCTTATTTTTTTGTAAATGTTTAAAAGCTTAATTTTTTAAAATTTTGAGAAGTTTAGAAATTCTTTAGCATTTTTAAAGTTGTGAAAATGTTTAAAAGCAGACAATTTTTAATTTTTTTAAAGAATTTAAAATTCTGAAATTTCTTTATTTTTGTACAATTTTAACTTTTAACATTTCGGAATTTTTTACAATGTGTGAAAATCATTATTTTTTTAAAAAAATTAAATGTTTATAATTCTTACAATTTTTAAATTTACAAAATTAATTTTTCAAAAATGTCCTCCAAACTTTGATTATTTTTTTAAATTTATTCAGAAAAGCGAAATTTCAAAATAATTTTAACATTTATAAAGGCTTGAAAATTTCAAAATTTCTTATTTAAGTATCTCATCTAATGGTATTTATTATCTTTACAATATCGGTAATGCCCTCTGGATTTCACGTAGACTTGCCCGAGACTTAAAAGACTGTTGACTTATTGTTGAGCGGTTGCAATAAAAATGCGTAATAACACAGAAGTACTGATTATCGTTTTTCAAAACACAATTTAATCATAGTTGCTACTCACGTCTGTCAATGAACCGAAAGTGACCGAAGAACCCCGATGCGTTACTGGATCTCCGATCGGTGTGGAACTCGAGAACGAGTCCGGGGCCCGAGCTGTAGAGCACGTGGGGTATGTCTGTGAACCCTCCGCACAAAAGGCCTGACCAAGGAGTGTATTCGTTTACTTCGGCCCGGTCCAGATGAAGGAAGAGTTTCAAGAAATCACCGCGCTCACAGCTGAAACAAAAAGAGAACATCTTTGCTACTATACTCGCTACCGCACAGCTGTTCTATTCATGAGGTCCTTGTACTCGAATGGGGTACGTAAAGCCTCATCACAGAAAACGTGAGGTATAATGAATTGCCTCTGTATGCCTGCATTGAAAGAGCCACGTTAAATCTCATTGATACCACGTAAAACGTAGATGAAGAAATGTACAGAAAACCTGTTCAAAAATGCACGACACGAATGGTTGCTAGTAAGTTACAGGCACTTCTGCATTTCAGCTGCCATGTGCCCTCATGGCCAATCGGCTTCAGTCACTCTCTACACGCTTGTTTGGGTTGTGGCGTTCTTCGTTTAACATGTGGCTATTCTATTCATGGTATATTCTGTGAATATCGAAGCAAAATGCTACAAATCAGCTATTAACACCAGAAGATATATGTCGCTTCTACACAGGTTAGCCAATGTTCTGGTAAGTTACTTCAGTCTTGAAATAGGAGCCGGAATTTCAGTCCACGACGTTGTAAAAAAGCAAGGACGTACTGCTAAAGCGTGCGATTTAGGAATTGTAAACGTGAAAAGAATCAGTGTGCGTCTGCATGTGCGATGTAGTGATTCAGTTAAGGCTACGAACCGAATACCAGGGTACTGACACTTCTGGGTAAAAAATGGACCCGAAACTACGGCCTGCGTACTAGTCACCGGAAATCAAGGAATTAGAAAGGCAATGAGAGAAAGTCGGTCAACTTATGAATACTCTTGCACCATGACCCAATATCCTTCACATATATATTAAATTTTGTCCGTCTAATCACAATAATTCTTATTAAATATTAAAATATTACAATAATTAACATTTACAATATTTAAAATATTAAATGTTAATTATTGTAATATTTTAATATTTAATAAACATTATTGTGATTAGACGGACAAAATTTAATATATACTTATTATATCACAATATGACGCAACTTTACTATCTTATCCTTCACATATCTAATATCCATTCCGCTTTAAAAACAAAATTTCATAATTATTTGGTTTATAGCAATCATTTATGCCAGCAAAACTTGTAGAATTCTGCAAACAATATTTAAAATGTTACAATGATTCAGTTCGCACTTAGCGTACTCGTCTTCCTAACAATAATTAAACCTAATTCTGGGAGATTGCCATATAAAACCGATTTGCAGGTTCGAAGCTACTGTCAGAGAAAAGAGAAACACATACTCATTTGGGTGGGGGGGGGGCAATAAGCATCTTAATAGTCTGTTTTCTCTTCTAATAATTCTCTTCACTTTCCTTTCGTGCAGATTATTATTACAATAGGGACTGTGATGACGCATTTCTAGCAGTATTTATTACAAATGGTGTGTAGGAATTATTTGAATTCGGGCTGTTTCTTATGATTTACGTTTAGTATTTTGAGACAGTACTGACCCCAACAATTAAAGATACAATAAAATCATTAATCAATTACATACAAGACACAACCGTTATATTATTTCAGATTATATATCAGAAATCATTTATCATTAAAATTAAAGAACACAGATTAAATAACTTCTTGTCAAACACAATCAAAACTTCAAAGCAGATCATAAACAGGCTTATTGATTCTATAGCCAAATAATGCACAAGTTCTGGTTACAGCTTGTTGAACAATCGAACCAGAATATACGCCTTTACAAATTAATGAGACTGAAAGTAACGAATGTCACGTATTCTAGGACTGGAATAGCCCCAGGTTATTAAAATATTCCGCCACAATGGAACAGTAAAAAGGATTCATTATTCGACTGCATTAGAATCCGGAAAAGTATAGCAAATTCTGAAACGTTCCAAGGGTCAAATGCTGTGCAATTCGTAACTCACTGGCAACTTAAGACCGCAGTACATCCTACATAATCCGCCTGTTCTCATACAACTGAGAATTTATGTGACGGGGGTGAAAATGTCACCACCCATATCTCGAAGATAGGAAGATGAAAAATCTACAGAATTCCTACTGCATTTCATCACGCTTAAATATGTTCCAGATTGTTATTCTATAAAGCAGCCTTTAAGCACAATATGCAGAATTCTACCAAGCCTGCAACATGAAAGTTATTAAGACACCCAGGCTTTTATTATATACATATATTACTTATGTCACATTAAGTTTCTGAGACGTTTATAACTTCCCCGCAAACAAAAATTGAACATCATTTTACAGTACATCAACTGCCTCAGAAATACTTTCCAAACTAAAATTATACGTTAATAAGTCTCATCTACGAAAACAGAAAGTAACATTAGAATATTTCTCTCCTCTGGGTTGTTGGGCACTGTCTGGTAGACGTTTACCGACGTTTCAGAAGTCCTTGCTGCCCTGATGACGGAAGAAGAAAGGACCCCTCTGAAACGTCGGTAAATTTCTACCAGACAACACGGCGTAACAACCCAGAAGACAGCCATCTTCAGACTCATCACCGTGAAAACCCCAAATCCTACTTAGAAAGTAACATTACTTGCAACAAGGTGTAGGCGTATTTATTTCAATGTCTGATAGTAGTATTGGACTGAACAAGTACTTTAAACGCCCGTTACCATCGTACTACTACGTTCATTATTCGATCTCATCCTCGACTCTGGAAGGACAGCTCAATTCTTTGGCCGACGAGTTAGCTCGATTTACTTTGTATGCGAGGATTTTTCAAGTCAGATACTTTTCTGCGGAACTGACAGGAAAGAAGTAATCACCAGCTTGACGTTGATCCTCAAGCGAATGCTGTTACGATTAAGGAAAGGTGTATTAGGCATGAATCACACCGAAGCAACTAGCAAAGAGCAACAGGCGAAACGCGATAGACGTTGCTGACATAAATAACATGCATAAAAGTGCGAAGCGTTTAAACCGGATAGACGACAACATCGTTTTTAAATTATCGATCACCGACAGGCGATACATGTCGAAAGCAACTTTAGTTCTATATCGCCTGTCGCTATGGAAGGATTTTTTTCTTCTAACCGACTCACTGCATCATCCAATAAACCATCTTGTGTGGATGCATCACAGTAGACAGTAATAGGGCTACTGAACAAGAATGAACTACTAGGCTGGTGTAAAATATGAAATATTTGTTAAACAATTATAATTTCATTAATTGCCATTTTTAAAAAAAGCAATCTCCTTTCATGTAAGTGTAATACAGGAGATATATCGCGCACCGCCTATCGATTGTTGCCTATTGCAAGATCATTAGACGATATTCCTGCCTCGTGAAACGCCACTACTTAAAATTAGTTTTAATCATCCGTGCCCCCAAAACGACAAAATCCGTTTTCACAGAACTGGCGAATTAACTTTATTTCCAGAGAAAATATCACTGGCTTGAGGTTTTATGAAATGGAGAAGCAAGAGTGTGCCAGACTCTGACTTCAAGCATTCCAGTGGCTGGAAGGGTGAGTTCTTTATTGGATTCATTTCGTAGAGTCGCAACTTTGTTATAGGCGGAATATTTCACACAAAATCGTGAATACAGATTAAATGAAAAAATACGATGGGCATTTAAGCATTCTACTTGCTGTTTCTCTTATGTTGTACGTTCAGCTCCAAGTTCTGTTGACTCTTGTCACGAAACTAAAAATCTTACACCCATTGTCACTCATTCTTGACATGCAGTAAATTATGGAAGCTTCCCAGGGTTCTAATCGACATTATTCAAAATGGCTAATTAGTTTTTGTAATTTCGTGAACAATTCTGATCTAGACTATAATTTCACAGACAGTAGATCATTTTGACATCACCTTAACGCACAAATCACCCTCGTTAGGCTCGAATCGAGGCATTTATATTTCTTTTTACAAAACTGAACTTTAATTTAATTTGTAAACAACACAACAGGAACGTAATTTTTGTGGATGGACGATAGCTTAGATTCTAGAACTGAACTAATGATTTGGTAGACTATTCAGTTATTCTGATGCATATATTTAACGTCTGAGAACCATTTAAAAAGAAGATAAATACCATCTCATTATAAATTTCACATATACTAGCAACGTAGCATAAAAGCTGGGGTTCAGTGTGCCCCTGAAGAGGCTATAAATGAACTTCACTAGAGAACCTGAATTATAAATAATGGCTTATATAAAACATGTAATGTGATGTTTATGTGCCATACGCACGTCGTTAAGTAAGACCTATGTGTATTTATTTTAGGCTTTCTGAAGAAGAATAAAATATTTAATTTTCTTCTTTACTGGTTAATGTTGTTGTCAGATACATTTACTTCAAAGAATAAAGATAAAACGTACGACCTCAAATCTTTCGTCTAGATAGATGCGATCTGAAAACTGCTGAAAGTGACGGTGTAACACCGCTGCTTTGAATTCGGGAGATCCCGTTTTCACATCTCAGGACCGAGACAGGTTATCCTCACAGAGGTTGTTGATGGTTACTCTCATTTCCTCTAGTAAATCGGTAGATAATATCCTAATAGGGCCATGACGGTCCCTTCGATGATTATTCAAGCCCTATAATTCGGCTACGTGTACAACGAGCTATATACAGCGCCGTAACATAAATAATAAATAAATACAAATGTCCCGAAAATATGTATACGCATTGTAATACGGATTATTAATCTTATCAGTCAGCTGCTCGCCGCTGTCAACTGTGTTGACGGAGGTCATTTTGAACACCTACACTTGAATCACTAATTCAACAAGCGCCAATGCAGACACATTTAATGGTTTAGTTTATTATAATATCTTTATTTTCTTTACTGAATGTGTGTAAACGTTTTTAGGATAGCCTGTAGTTTGTTAATCGCTTACTTTTCGCATATTGAAAGTTAATTTTTTTAAATCGTGTTCAAACATATTTAACGTGCACATGAAAGTACTATGATTAGTTTCACTAGTACGTCCTAAAGTAAAATATTTATTACGCGTAAGTAATCGAAATCGGTCAAACTCCTAACTTTAACTTGTTGATGTCAGATGCCACGAGTAAATGACACA